GATAACAGCCTTCAGCTGGGAGCTGGCACCATAATAATAATAATAATAATAATCCTAGCATTTGATATAGCGCCTTATCATGTCTTCACCGCGAGGCCAAGTGCTCTAACCATTGAGTTACAGGACTCCACAAATGTGCTTTCATGGCTTTTATTAAGTCTCTGGATCTGAGCAGAAGCTGAGCTTGAATTTGCTATTTGCTGGGAATTGTAACTCGAGCCCCACGCTGTGCCCATCACTGTCACTTCCCGTCAGTGGGAACACTCATGGTCATTGTGTTTGATTTTTGTCAGAATCAGCAAATAAATCCACACCTCAGACAGCACCGAGGGAGCTATTTGTGTGACATCATTAACATTCTCTCATGATCCATCACAATTATTCCATTTAAATACATTTTGTAGAAAATTCCACATGTTGACAATAATAATAATCTTTGCATTTGATACAAATGCAAAAAACCTGCATACAAATGCAGGCCTTCTAGACGTTTCAAAGCGCTTCACAGAATATACTGTAAAGTGAATTGACTGGATATTTTGTGGGCAAAGCATGTCCCACAACAGTCGTGGATTGAAGTGACCAAATTATTATTATTATTTATTTTATTTTTAAAAACTTCAAAGGGATCTGACAATCGACTGACACCCGGGTTCCTGCTTACTGCTAAGTGAACAGAGACGACGTGTGTGTGGACAATCAGTGTTCCTCTGCACTGTGTGTGTGTTAGCCCAGACACCATCAGCTGCCGCGCTTTCAGCCTCTACACCCCGAAACTCTCAAACACTCTTCCTCTAGCCCTTTGCCTTGCCTGTTCCTTCCTCATCTGCAGGTTGCACCTGAAGAGCTTCCTCTTCGACCTTGTCTCTGGTCACCTCCCCTTAAGGTCATCGACCTGAAACGTTGACTCACTTTCCTCTCTTTATCGATGCCACCTGACCTGCTGAGTGTTTCCAACAACTTCTGTTTTTATTTCCATAAATAATGATCAGGTTGGAGGTGCTGCTGTGATTGTGTTGGGAACATGCCAGAGCCATTAGAACTGTTTATTTACTCATTTATTGACTCAAGGTTAGAGAGTGTCCAGAACTGGTTAATAATTTATTGGATTTCACCTAAAGAGCGAGAAAACTATTAATTAATATTTATGATCATGCCAAGTCAAGGTCAGAGGCGAGAACCCCTCTCTGTGACTTATAATCATAGAATTTTACAGCACAGAAGCCGACCATTCAGCTCATCGTGTCTGGACCAGCTCTTTGAAATAACTGCCAACTAGTCCCAGCCACCACCCCCCCCTCCCCACCCTCACCCCACTCTCACCCCACAGCCCTGCACATTCTTCTTCTTCTTCTTCAATTACCTATCCAATTTATCAAAACCACAAGAACAACAACAAACTACATGTGTATAGCACCTTTCACATCATGAGGACATCCCAAGGTGCTGGGACGAAGGAACAAGAGGAGGCCATTCAGCCCAATTAGTCTGTTCAGTAGATCTTGGCAGATCTTTTAATCGTTACTTCAAAAACTGATCTAAACACTTCTCTCTTTGAATGGATCTTTGGTTATGTTTCCTCCTGTATCATTCATGGGGGGAGGGGGTGGGAAGGCAAGTGGGGTCTCCTTGGAGCTGAACTGGCCCCAATATGATTTACCTGGCAATCGAATGTCGGAATCAAATCAGCCCTCAGTGACAGTCTCCAGTCGGGTCCACAGTATTCCAGGGCACTCGCTGCTGATGACAGCACAGCCCGGCCTGGCTTATCAGCAGGACCTGGAAGGGCCGCCAGTGAATGGGGGCAGAGAATCATCAGCTCCTGCAGCCAAAGCCCTAACGGGTAGGGTGGTCCTAGCTGGACAAGTAGTGGGAAAGTTTGCCGGACATCAAGATCAATGGCAAGCTGTGTGGGTTTAGCTGGTTAGACTCCAGGAGTTACCCCAGCACACACTCTGGGGTCCCCAAGCCTTGACTCTCGCCAACCTGCGCCTAATACTTTCCGGAATTAGGTAAGCAGGATGCCTCCCTCCAGGGAGAGAGAGAGCGTATTCCATTCCAACAATCTATCTCTGGGATTTCCATGTGTAGGTGGGAGGCCTGGAATTCTTAGTTGGGTTTGGATACTGTTAAACACGGTGACGGGTTTCCGTGTGTGTCAGACACTCAGCTGATCACGGTGACGGGTTTGTGTGTGTGTCAGATACCCGGTTGGTCACGGTGATAGGTTTCTGTGAGTGTCAGACACTCGGCTGACCCCCAAAAAAATACAAAACCAGATTACATTTGCATAGCGCCTTTCACACGAGGATGTCCCAAGGCTCTGATAATTTCCTCGTCCCATCAGATAAGACATGAAACCGAGGTCCTGTCTGTGCCTGTTCAGGAGAGTGTTAAAGATCTAGACATGATTTGAAAAGGGAAAGAAGTTTCTACCAGGCCAGCAATTCTCCAGAGAGCATCAGTCACTTCCTGGCTGTTTGTGGGATATTGCTGTATGCAGTTGGGCTGCTGTGTTCACCCACAAAACACAGTCACTCCACTTTACAATTAAATCATTTTGAGACATCCTCCCAAGGCGTTGAATGAAATGTAAAGATTATTATTATTTTTCACCTGCCAGCTCCCACCCCAGCTTTGAAAAGCCCTTGAGTTGTTCTCCATAAGAGAACGGTGTCAGTGAGTGCAAACTGTTGCTGTTGTTCCTCCCGCTTTCCTCCTTTCTCACTGACCATCTTGTTTTTTTCTCAGGGGCCATGGCTCCTCTTTTGAGTCTTGTATTTGTGTCTTTTCCTCTCTCTTCTCTCTTTCTCTCTCTCCATTTTCATGAACTGGACTGGAGGATTGACCATATTCGAATAGTCTGTTGTCAAGTACGTCACCGTGGAGCCAGTTCAGCTCCCACAAGGCAACGCTTACCCTCACCCACCCCCCAGGAGAAATGAACAGACAGATACAGCATTCTCAAGCTGGTTTGGAGTCTGGGTTTCCTCACGTGTCACAGATTAATGTAACTGTTGCCTGTAAACTCCCAGGACAGAGAGTGAGCGGAAAACATCCAGGAGGAAAACAATGGAAAGTCACAAGTTGAGGCTGTGCCTCAGCTCTGCCCGGGGTTGGCTTTGGCGCCAGTCACAGCCAGAATCCCTGCGGGCACACAATCAATCATACCTGACGCGCTGCCCCTGACCCTGCATCATTCCCCAGCCCCTGCCCAGCAGCTCACAGCTCCCCTCCCAGCAGACACCACCCCCATCCCCACAGCAGCTCCCCCACCCCCAGCAGCTCCCCCCCACCCCCCAGCTCCCCCCCACCCCCACTCCCCCAGACTCCGCCACTGTCAAGTGCTCTGGGGGGGCTGCCCCACATGAGGGTCTCTGTGTAGATGTTAGTGGTGGTGGTGGTGTTTGTTGTTGTTGTTGCAGCTTCACAGGAAATGTAGAAAATTAAATTCTGTCCAGAATCAGAGACACAGACACAGGTAAGGACAGGGACAGGGACAGGGACAAAATCCCAGGGTTTTATCAGATTATTTTCTGTTTCTTTTCTTCCAAAAATGTGAAGATCCATAAAACACGTAACGTTCAGATTCAGCCCAAAGCCCAGAAACCCCACAGGTCAACAGCAAAGCACCGGCTGACGGTGATGTCACTGACCACGTACAGGAGACCAACCGCTCCTCCACATCACCAGTGAATGTCACCCCGGCCTCGTGCTGTTGGGCACCTCCTATTGAATTGTCCAGTGTATGTTCTCTCTCAAACACTCTCTTACTGCCGATTTGTTCTCTCAACTCTCACACCCCCAGCACACGCTCAGCACACGCCAATACACACCCAACACACGCTCAGCACACACTAGTACACCCCCAACACACGCTCAGCACACGCCAATACACCCCCAACACACGCTCAGCACACGCCAATACACACCCAACACACGCTCAGCACACTAGTACACCCCCAACACACGCTCAGCACACGCCAATACACACCCAACACACGCTCAGCACACACTAGTACACCCCCAACACACGCTCAGCACACGCCAATACACCCCCAGCACACACCAGTACATGCCCAGCACTCCCAACACACGCTCAGTAAACAGTACATACAACCCTCGTGTACACACACAGTACATAGAGCCCCTGTGTCACGCACAGTTTATACAGCTTCTGATGTCAAGCTGACATTACAGGTTAAAATAGATTGTGTAACAGTTCAGGTTGTGTGTCCAGGAGACAGACAGACAGAGAGTGAGACAGACAGAGAGAGACAGAGAGAGAGAGAGAAAGGCAGAGAGACAGAGAGTGAGACAGACAGAGAAAGACAGCGAGAGAGAAGGACAGAGACAGAGACAGAGAGACAGACAGAGAGAGGAGAGATAGAGAGAGAGAGAGGCAGAGAGGCAGAGACAGACAGAGAGAGGGAGAGAGACAGAGAGAGAGAGAGGGAGAGATAGAGAGAGAGAGAGGCAGAGACAGACAGAGAGAGGGGGAGAGATAGAGAGAGAGAGGGAGAGAGACAGAGAGAGAGAGAGGGAGAGATAGAGAGAGAGAGAGAGAGGCAGAGAGGCAGAGACAGACAGAGAGAGGGAGAGAGACAGAGAGAGAGAGAGGGAGAGATAGAGAGAGAGAGAGAGAGAGGCAGAGAGGCAGAGACAGACAGAGAGAGGGAGAGAGACAGAGAGAGAGAGAGGGAGAGATAGAGAGAGAGAGAGAGGCAGAGAGGCAGAGACAGACAGAGAGAGGGAGAGACAGAGAGAGAGAGAGGGAGAGATAGAGAGAGGCAGAGAGGCAGAGACAGACAGAGAGAGAGGGAGAGATAGAGAGAGAGAGAGGCAGAGAGGCAGAGACAGACAGAGAGAGGGAGAGAGACAGAGAGAGAGAGAGGGAGAGATAGAGAGAGAGAGAGAGAGAGGCAGAGAGGCAGAGACAGACAGAGAGAGAGGGAGAGATAGAGAGAGAGAGGCCGAGAGACAGAGACAGACAGAGAGAGAGAGGGAGAGAGACACAGACAGAGAGGGAGACAGAGAGAGAGTTCCCACACATGCCGTCACTTGGCAGTGGGTTCCCTCGCTCCTGCAGACAGGCTCCGGTGGGGGAGGGGGCAGTGATGTTGGCTTTCGCTTGTTCCATTCCAGCCGCTCTGACCAGCACCGCGGCCCCAATGGAGTCTTCAGGATGTTCTTCTATCTGGGTCTGAACAGGCAGGAGGTTAGGACTATATCACCCACAAAACACATAGTCACTACACTTTACAGTATGTCCTGTGAAGCGTTTGAGATGTCTCGAAGACATGATCAGGTGCTGGGTCAAACGCCAGGATTATTATTATAAAAAAATAAATAAATCCTTGCATTTGATATAGCGCTTTTCACGTCGGGAGGACGTCCCAAAGCGCTTCACAGAACACACTGTAAAGTGAATTGACTGTATATTTGTGGGCGAACGCGGCAGCCAATTGCGCACAGCAATGTCCCACAAACAGTCATAGATTGAGTGACCAATTTATTATTGTTTTGGTTTTGGAGGGATTATTATTAGGCTCTGTGTGGAGTAAGGAAACTTGCCCAAGGTTTCGCCCTCTGCCTGGAACTGAACTCAGGTCTCTCACTTGCAAAGCGAGTGCTCTAACCACTGAGCTACAGGACTCCACATTATTATTATTATTATTATCACAATGTGACTGAGGTAATGAGGAAAGTGCCAGAGACTGTGACTGTTGCTCACACCTCACTGTCGACACCCGAACAGTGAGCGTTGGGCAGAGGCTCAGGAACAGGGAATCTGGGCCAAACCCCACGTCACTGAGACAGAGTAATCCTCATGTTTAATCATCACCTTCACATTGCGAGGACGTGTCAGAGCACCTCCCAGGCCGGGCCACTCTGGGGTCGGGTCAACAACAACAACAACTTGGATTTATATAGTGCCCTCCACGCCGGACGGCGTCTCAGAGCTTCACAGTAACGGATCCCGGGACAGAGCCGGGGGGGGTGGGTGGGGGGGTGGGAGGAGCCAGGGAATGGGGAGGAGCCAGGGGAGGGGGAGGAGTTGGGGAGGGGGAGGAGCCCGGGGGAGGGGAGGAGCCAGGGGGAAGTGGGGGAGGGGTCAGGGGGAGGGGAGGAGCCAGAGGGAGGGGAGGAGCCAGGGGGAGGGGGAGGAGCCAGGGGAGGGGGAGGAGCCGGGGAGGGGGAGGAGCCGGGGGGGGGGGGTGAGAAGATGACCAAAGGTGCGGTCGAAAAGAAAGGTCTTCAGCCGAGACCTGAACATAGGAAGAGAGGGGGCGATGGGGAGGGGAGTGAGGAAGGGAGTTCCAGAGCTTCGGGGCACAGTGGCTGAAGGCCTCTGGAGGGTGGAGCGGAGGACTCGGGGGACGAGGAGGAGGCCAGACCCGGGGGAACGAAGGCATCGGATACTGTGCTGAGGAGAGAGGTCAGAGAGGTCGGGGGGTGCAGAGGAGCGCAGGGACTTGAATACGAGGTGAGGGTCTTGAAGTGGATCCTCTCTGGGACAGGAGTCAGTGCAGTCTGGACAGGACTGGGGGATCGGGAGTGGGGTTTGGGTGTGGGGGGAGGGCCAGGACTGGGGGGATCGGGAGTGGGGTTTGGGTGTGGGGGGAGGGCCAGGACTGGGGGATCGGGAGTGGGTTTGGGTGTGGGGGGAGGGCCAGGACTGGGGGATCGGGAGTGGGGTTTGGGTGTGGGGGGAGGGCCAGGACTGGGGGGATCGGGAGTGGGGTTTGGGTGTGGGGGGAGGGCCAGGACTGGGGGGATCGGGAGCGGAGGTTCGTGGGGGTGAGAATGTGGGCGGTAGAGTTTTGAATGATTTGGATTGTATGGATGGTAGTGGAGGGGAGACCGGTGAGGAGGGCGTTAGAGTAGTGCAGCCGAGAGGTGACAAAGGGTTTCAGTAGCTTTTGGGGAGAGGTATTGGCGGAGACGGGCGATGCGTCGGAGGTGGTAGAAGGCGGTGCTGGTGAGGGACCGGATGTGGGGGAGGAAACATAATTGGGGCTCGAACCTGACGCCTGGGTTGCGTACAGGTTCAGAGAGTTTTAGGGGAGGTCAGGTAGGTGGAGGAGGTGAGAGCCGTGAGATTTTAGATGTTGACGAGAGCCAAAGAGTATGGCCTCTGTCTTGTCAACGTTCAGCTGAAGGAAGTTTGGGCTGATCCAGCCCGAGATCTGACAGACAGAACATTAGGGGACTGGGGGGTCACAAAGGGAGGTGGAAAAATAGAGTTGGGTGTCGTCTGCGAACATGTGGAAATGTACCCCATGTCTGCGGATGATATCCTCAAGAGGGAGTATGTAGATCAGAAAGAGGAGGGGGGCCAAGGATGGATCCTTGGGGTACCCGCAGGTGACCGGGTGAGAGCGGGAGGAGAAGCCGTTTGTGCAGATGTACCGCTGGTGGTTTGTGAGGTAGGACTCGAACCGGGCGAGTGCGGTCCCACTGAGGTGGATGACGGAGGAAAGCCAGTGGAAGAGGATGGCGTGGTCGACTGTGTCTAACAATGCGGAGAGGACCAGGATGACAAGGAGGCAGAGGGAGGGTCAGGGCTTGGGGGAGGTCAGGGGTGGGGGTGGGGGTCAGGGCTGGAGGGGGTCAGGGCTGGGGAGGGGTCAGGGCTGGGGAGGGGGTCAGGGCTGGGGGGGGTACCTGGGTGCCAGCGCCGGGTGTGGAGATGATTGCAGGGCTGCGAGCTGCTGCTCCAACGACAACACTCTGAACATCATGTAAATGGATGACAACAACAGCAGAACGATTCTAGAGAAGAAAACAACATATTTGCTCTTTCATAAATCAGCAGCGTCCCACTAATAATCATAATTATACAAACTATCAGCCAATCCCAGGAATGGACTAGTTTAGAAAGAGTAAATGTCTGTCAGGAATTAATGAATTATCTCAGGTCTGGCTGCTGTTTCCAGGATTCACTGACTCCCAATCACACACACTAAACCCCATACCCCCATTCCCCCATCCCCTGCATCACCCCATCCCCCCATCCCCCATCCCCCCATCCCCCCAGCCCTCGCCCTCGCCCTCGCCAGGCTCAACTGGCTCCAAATCACCAAACGGATCAATTTCAAGACCTTCTCACTGGTTTTCAAATCCCTTCATGCCCTGACACCTCCCTCCCTCTCTGACCTGCTCACCCTCACTCCCCCACCCACTGCCTCCACTCGCTGGCTCCGGCCTCCTGTTTGTCCCTCGATGGTTGTGCCTTCAGCCACTATATCCTGACACTCTGTCACTATCTCCCCCAATCCCTCCGCCTTGCCCCCTCTCTCCCCACCTTCAAATCCCACCTAAAGACCTTTCTTCTTGAATGTCCCTCCCCACTCCCTCTCCCCCTGGTTTGGGGTCAGACTCCGGCACTGTCAAGCGCTCTGAGACACTACCCCACGTGAAGGACACTGTGTAAACGCAAGTTGTTGTTAAGACTTGAACAGAATTGTAGAATTATTGTCTGATAATTCACTGTAACTCGTTGTGTTGTCAGTGGTCACTCCTGAACCATAAACCCACTGTCATGTTAGATTCTCTCCACAGCATTGTGTGACAGTGTGTGATACTCACATTGTGAACAATATCCTGAGGATACCGTGTTGAACGCTGCCAATCCCCTCACTATATTCCGGTTCAAATTTGTTCTCGTTGACTGTTTCTGAGCATAGACAAGAGGATGTAAATACATATACAATGGCCCCGGAGGGAGTCAGTCTGCTAAGAGGAGGTCATGTCCTCAGTAACCCTCAGCTTTCAAATCCCTTCATGTCCTGGCAACTCCCTACCTCTCTGACCTGGTCACCCCCCCAACCTACAACTCGCTACCTCCGCTTAGCTAGCTTGTCCCTCATGCCCTCTGTTCCACCATTGGTGGCCACATTTTCAGCCACTACTCCCGAAACTCTACATACTTCCTCCACTAAATCATCCTTCTACTCCAAGACAATTTTGGAGGCCATGAATAACTCCAGGTTCCTCTTCTCCATCACCAACCGGCTCCTCCGCCCACCCTCTCAAGCCTCACCCATCCTCACCTCCACTGCCAACTGTGAGACGATGCTGGACTTCCTCAAATCCAAAGTCAAGAGGATCTGCTCTGCCAACCACTACCCCCTCCCCATAATAATAATAATAATAATAATAATAATAATAATAATCCTTGCATTTGATATAGCGCTTTTCACGTCGGGAGGACGTCCCAAAGCGCTTCACAGAACACACTGTAAAGTGAATTGACTGTATATTTGTGGGCGAACGCGGCAGCCAATTGCGCACAGCAATGTCCCACCAACAGTCGTAGATTGAAAATGACCAATTTATTATTGTTTTGGGTTTTGGAGGGATTATTATTAGGCTCTGTGTGGAGTAAGGAAACTTGCCCGAGGTTTCGCCCTCTGCCTGGAATTGAACTCAGGTCTCTCACTTGCAAAGCGAGTGCTCTAACCATCTCCCTCTCACCCGCCCCCTGCCCATCCCTCCCTCCACACCTTCGAACCTGTCTCCCCCTCCTCTCACTACCACTATAACCCGCATGAAACCAACCACCTTCTCCCTTGACTCCCATCCCTATCCCTCTCCTTACCCCCTTGCCCCTCTAATCAGAGACATCGTAAACCTCCCCAGTTCACTGGCACTGTTCCCATTAAAAATAGCCGTCATCACTCTTATCCTTAAAAATCCTCCCTGGACATCCCTGATCTCAAACTACTGCCCCATCTCCAACCTCCCCTTCCTCTCCAAGGTCCTGGAATGAGTTGTTGCTTCTCAGCTTCGCTCCTTCCTCTCCCGTCATTCCCTTCATGAACCCCTCCAATCGGGTTTCCGTACCGCCCACAGCACAGAAGCAGCCCTGGTCAAAGTGACCAATGCCGTTCTGTCCATCTGCGACCAGGGCTCCCTCTGCCTCCTCGTCCTCCTTGACCTCTCTGCTGCCTTCGACACCGTCGACTACTCGATCCTCATCCACTGCCTCTCCTCCCACCTCAACCTCCACGACTCTGTCTTTGATTGGTTCAGATCGTACCTCTCACACCCCCTGCACTTCATCTCCTCAGACGGCTTCTCCTCTAGTCCCCGCACCGTCTCGTGTGGTGTTCCTCAGGGCTCTGTCCTTGGTCTCCTCCTCTTCAATATCTATATGCTCCCTCTTGGTGACATCATCCGCAGACATGGGGTCAACTTCCACATGTATGCGGATGACACCCAACTCTCCCTCTCTGCCCCCACCCTGGACTCCAGGACCCACTGCTGTCCTGACACAATGTCTGTCAGACATCAAGTCCTGGATGAGAGGTAACGTTCTTCAGTTGAACGTCAACAAGACCGAGGCACCTGATTGGCTCCCGTCAGCACCTCCTCACCTCAGGCGCTGACAGCATCACCATCCATGGGGCTCACTCCCCCTCACTGAGCCAGTCCCGAACCCTGGGGTCTGGTTTGACCCTCAAGTATTCTTTCTGCCCCACATCTGTGCCATGACCCGCTCTGCCCTCCCCACCTCCACAACATCACCACCCGGCTCTGCCACTGACCCACACCTCAGCCCCCGAGACCCTTACACAGACCTTCATTACATCATTACATCCAGACTCGACTATGCAAACTCATTGCTTGTCGACATCCCAACTCCTCCCTCCACAGGCGGCAGATCATCCAGAACTCTGCAGCCCGTGTCCTCTCCTGCACCAGCTCCGTGACCCTATCACCCCATCCTCACCCCCACCAGGCTCGGTGACCCTATCACCCCATCCTCACCCCCACCAGGCTCCGTGACCCTATCACCCCCATCCTCACCCCACCAGGCTCCGTGACCGATCACCCCCATCCTCACCCCACCAGGCTCCGTGACCCTATCACCCCACATCACCCCACCAGATCCGTGACCCCACCACCCCATCCTCACCCCCACAAGGCTCCGTGACCCTATCACCCCCATCCTCACCCCCACCAGACTCCGTGACCCTATCACCCCCATCCTCACCCCACCAGGTCCGTGACCCTATCACCCCATCCTCACCCCACCAGGCTCCGTGACCCTATCACCCCCATCCTCACGCCCACCAGGCTCCGTGACCCTATCACCCTATCCTCACCCCCACCAGGCTCCGTGACCCTATCACCCCCATCCTCACCCCACCAGGCTCCGTGACCCTATCACCCCATCCTCACCCCCACCAGGCTCCGTGACCCTATCACCCCATCCTCACCCCCACCAGGCTCCGTGACCCGATCACCCCATCCTCACCCCCACCAGGCTCCGTGACCCTATCACCCCCATCCTCACGCCCACCAGGCTCCGTGACCCTATCACCCTATCCTCACCCCACCAGGCTCCGTGACCCTATCACCCCCATCCTCCCCCCCACCAGGCTCCGTGACCCTATCACCCCATCCTCACCCCACCAGGCTCCGTGACCCTATCACCCCCATCCTCACGCCCACCAGGCTCCGTGACCCTATCACCCCTATCCTCACCCCCACCAGGCTCCGTGACCCTATCACCCCCATCCTCACCCCCACCAGGCTCGTGACCCTATCACCCCATCCTCACCCCACGAGGCTCCGTGACCCTATCACCCCCATCCTCGACCCCACAAGGCTCCGTGACCCTATCACACCCATCCTCACCCCCACAAGGCTCCGTGACCCTATCACCCCCATCCTCACGCCCACCAGGCTCCGTGACCCTATCACCCTATCCTCACCCCACCAGGCTCCGTGACCCTATCACCCCCATCCTCCCCCCACCAGGCTCCGTGACCCTATCACCCCCATCCTCACCCCACCAGGCTCCGTGACCCTATCACCCCATCCTCACCCCACCAGGCTCCGTGACCCTATCACCCCTATCCTCACCCCCACCAGGCTCCGTGACCCTATCACCGCCATCCTCACCCCCACCAGGCTCCGTGACCCTATCACCCCTATCCTCACCCCCACCAGGCTCCGTGACCCTATCACCCCCATCCTCCCCCCCACCAGGCTCCGTGACCCTATCACCCCCATCCTCACCCCCACCAGGCTCCGTGACCCTATCCACCCCATCCTCCCCCACCAGGCTCCGTGGCCCTATCGCCCCATCCTCACCCCACCAGGCTCCGTGACCCTATCACCCCATCCTCCCCCCCACCAGGCTCCAGGAACCTACCCTGCATGCGAGGCACTGTGTAAATGCAGGTTGTTGCTGCTGTAGCTTTACCTGTCCCCTGTCCCCTCTCCCCTGTCCCCTCTCCCCTGTCCCCTCTCCCTGTCCCCTGTCCCCTCTCCCTGTCCCCTGTCCCCTCTCCCCTGTCCCCTCTCCCTTCCCTGTCCCCCTTCCCGTCCCTGTCCCCTCCCTGTCCCCTCTCCGTCCCCTGTCCCTGTCCCCGTCCCCTGTCCCTCTCTCGTCCCCTGTCCCTCTCCCTGTCCCCTGTCCCTGTCCCCTGTCCCTCTCCCTGTCCCTCTCCCTGTCCCCCTGTCCCTCTCCCTGTCCCCTGTCCCCTGCCCCTTCCTGTCCCCTCCTTCCGTCCCCTGTCCCCTCTCCCTGTCCCCTGTCCCCTCCCTGTCCCCTGTCCCCTGTCCCTCCCCTTCCCCTTCCCTCCCTGTCCCCTGTCCCCTCCTCCCCTGTCCCCCTCCTGTCCCCTTCCCTCTCCCTGCCCTGTCCCTCTCCCTGTCCCCCTGTCCCTCTCCCTGTCCCTCTCCCCTGTCCCTTCCCTCTCCCGTCCTTCCCTGTCCCCTGTCCCCTCTCCCTGTCCCCTGTCCCCTGTCCCCCTCGTCCCTGTCCCTGTGCTGTCCTCCTGTCCCTGTCCCTGTCCCTGTCCCCTCTCCTGTCCCCTGTCCCTTCCCTCCTCCCTGTCCCCTTCCCTGTCCCCTCTCCCTGTCCCCTCTCCCTGTCCCCTGTCCCCTCTCCCTGTCCCCTGTCCCCTCTCCCTGTCCCCTGTCCCCTGTCCCCTGTCCCCTCCCTCTCCCCTGTCCCCTCTCCCTGTCCCCTGTCCCCTCTCCCTGTCCCCTGTCCCCTGTCCCCTTCCCTCTGCTCCCCTCTCCTGTCCCCTGTCCCTGTCCCCTGCCCCTCTCCCTCCCCCTGTCCCCTCCCCCCCTGTCCCCTCTCTCCCGTCCCTGTCCCCTGTCCCGTCCCCTTCCCCTCTCCCTGTCCCCTGTCCCCTCTCTCCCGTCCCCTGTCCCCTCTCCCCTGTCCCCTGTCCCCTGTCCCCTGTCCCTCTGTCCCCTGCCCCTGTCCCCTCTCCCCGTCCCCTGTCCCCTGTCCCCTGTCCCCTCTCCCTGTCCCCTGTCCCCTGTCCCCTGTCCCCTCTCCCTGTCCCCTGTCCCCTTCCCCTGTCCCCTTCTCCCTGTCCCCTGTCCGCTCCCCTGTCCCCTGTCCCTCTCCCTGTCCCCTGTCCCCTCTCCCTGTCCCCTGTCCCCTCTCCCTGTCCCCCCTCCCCTCCGCCCTCCACCCTCCCCCTCCCTCCCTCCCTCCCTCCCTTCCTCCTCCTCCCCTCCCTCCCCCCTCCCTCCCCCTCTCCCCTCCCCTCCCCCTCCCTCCCCTCCCTGTAGGGGGTGTCTGTCTGTAGGGGGTGTCTGCCTGTAGGGGGTGTCTCTGCCTGTAGGGGGTGTCTCTGCCTGTAGGGGGTGTCTCTGCCTGTAGGGGGTGTCTCTGCCTGTAGGGGGTGTGTCTGCCTGTAGGGGTGTCTGCCTGTAGGGGTGTCTCTGCCTGTAGGGGGTGTCTCTGCCTGTAGGGGCGTTCTGCCTGTAGGGGTGTCTCTGCCTGCTAGGGGTGTGTCTGCCTGTAGGGGGTGTGTCTGCCTGTAGGGGGCGTCTCTGCCTGTAGGGGGTGTCTGCCTGTAGGGTGTCTCTGCCTGTAGGGGTGGTCTCTGCCTGTAGGGGCGTCTCTGCCGTGGGTGCTCTGCCTGTAGGGGTGTCTGCCTGTGGGGCTGCCTGTAGGGGGTGTCTGCCTGTAGGGGGTGTCTGCCTGTAGGGGGTGTCTCCTGTAGGGGTGCCTGTAGGGGTGTCTGCTTGGGTGTCTCGCCTGTAGGGGTGTCTGCCTGGGTCTGCCTGTAGGGGGTGTCTCTGCCTGTAGGGGGTGTATCTGCCTGTAGGGGGTGTATCTGCCTTTAGGGGGTGTCTGCCTGTAGGGGGTGTCTGCCTGTAGGGGGTGTCTCTGCCTGTAGGGGGTGTATCTGCCTTTAGGGGGTGTCTGCCTGTAGGGTGTATCTGCCTTTAGGGGGTGTCTGCCTGTAGGGGGTGTCTCTGCCTGTAGGGGGTGTCTCTGCCTGTAGGGGTGTCTCTGCCTGTAGGGGGTCTCTGCCGCTTAGGGTGCTCTGCCTGTAGGGGGTGTCTCTGCCTGTAGGGGGTGTACTGTGGACGCTGATCTGTGGGGCCAGGCCCTGGGGTGACACTGACCGGTGGTGTTGAGGCTGAGCCGGTGTGGTCGGGGGGGGTCGGGCTCGGGGCCGCTCAGGCTGCTGCTGGAGGAGCGCAGGACAGAGGCACATTCGGTGTCCAGCAACGAGGAGGTGGAGCCATTGGACAACTTCCTCTGAATGGTTATTTGTAACAGACATTTCTCCTGAGAAACAGAGAGAGAACATCAGCCCCACACACAGCGCAGCGCAGCCCCACACACAGCGCAGCGCAGCCCCACACACAGCGCAGCGCAGCCCCACACACAGCGCAGCGCAGCCCCACACGCAGCGCAGCGCAGCCCCACACACAGCGCAGCCCCACACACAGCGCAGCCCCACACACAGCGCAGCGCAGCCCCACACACAGCGCAGCCCCACACACAGCGCAGCGCAGCCCCACACACAGCGCAGCGCAGCCCCACACACAGCGCAGCGCAGCCCCACACACAGCGCAGCGCAGCCCCACACACAGCGCAGCGCAGCCCCACACACAGCACAGCCAGCCCCACACACAGCGCAGCGCAGCCCCACACACAGCGCAGCGCAGCCCCACACGCAGCGCAGCCCCACACACAGCGCAGCGCAGCCCCACACACAGCACAGCGCAGCCCCACACACAGCGCAGCGCAGCCCCACACACAGCGAGCGCAGCCCCACACACAGCGCAGCGCAGCCCCACACACAGCGCAGCGCAGCCCCACACACAGCGCAGCGCAGCCCCACACACAGCGCAGCGCAGCCCCACACGCAGCGCAGCCCCACACACAGCGCAGCGCAGCCCCACACACAGCGCAGCGCAGCCCCACACACAGCGCAGCGCAGCCCCACACACAGCGCAGCGCAGCCCCACACACAGCGCAGCCCCACACACAGCGCAGCGCAGCCCCACACACAGCGCAGCGCAGCCCCACACACAGCGCAGCGCAGCCCCACACACAGCGCAGCCCCACACACAGCGCAGCGCAGCCCCACACACAGCGCAGCGCAGCCCCACACACAGCGCAGCGCAGCCCCACACACAGCGCAGCGCACACACACAGCGCAGCGCAGCCCCACACACAGCGCAGCGCAGCCCCACACACAGCGCAGCGCAGCCCCACACACAGCGCAGCCCCACACACAGCGCAGCCCCACACAGGCAGCGCAGCCCACACACAGCGCAGCGCAGCCAGCCACACAGCGCAGCGCAGCCCCACACACAGCGCAGCGCAGCGCCCCCACACAGCGCAGCGCTGCCCCACACACAGCGCAGCGCAGCCCCACACACAGCGCAGCGCAGCCCCACACACAGCGCAGCGCAGCCCCACACACAGCGCAGCCCCACACACAGCACAGCGGCAGCCCCACACACAGCACAGCCCACACAGCGCAGCGCACCCACACACAGCGCAGCGCAGCCCCACACAGCGCAGCCAGCCCCACACACAGCGCAGCCAGCCACACACAGCGCAGCGCAGCCCCACACACAGCGCAGCGCAGCCCCACACATAGCAGCGCAGCCCACGCACAGCCCCACACACAGCACAGCGCAGCCCACACACAGCGCAGCGCAGCCCCACACACAGCGCAGCGCCCACACACAGCACAGCGCAGCCCCACACACAGCGCAGCCCACACACACACGCGCAGCAGCGAGCCCACACACAGCACAGCGCAGCCACCAGCGCAGCCAGCACACACAGCACAGCAGCCCCACACACAGCGCAGCGCAGCCCACACACAGCACAGCGCAGCCCCACACACAGCGCAGCGCAGCCCCACACACAGCGCAGCGCAGCCCCACACACAGCACGCGCAGCCCCACACACAGCACAGCGCAGCCCCACACACAGCGCAGCGCAGCCCCACACACAGCGCAGCGCAGCCCCACACACAGCGCAGCCCCACACACAGCCAGCGCAGCCCACACACAGCAGCAGCCCCACACACAGCACAGCGCAGCCCCACACAGCACAGCGCAGCCCCAACAGCACAGCGCAGCCCCACACACAGCACAGCGCAGCCCCACACACAGCACAGCGCAGCCCAACACACAGCACAGCGCAGCCCACACACAGCACAGCGCAGCCCCACACACAGCGCAGCCCCACACACAGCACAGCGCAGCCCCACACACAGCACAGCGCAGCCCCACACACAGCACAGCGCAGCACAGCGCAGCCCACAGCGCAGCCCCACACACAGAGCAGCCCCACAGCAGCGCAGCCCCACACACAGCGCAGCCCACACACAGCGCAGCCCCACACACAGCACAGCCAACACAGCGCAGCCCCACACACAGCACAGCGCAGCCCCACACAGCAAGCACACACAGCAGCGCAGCCCCACACACAGCACAGCGCAGCCCACACACAGCACAGCGCAGCCCCACACACACGCGCACCACCACGCACAGCGCAGCCCCACACACAGCACAGCGCAGCCCCACACACAGCACAGCGCAGCCCCACACACAAGCACCACACACAGCGCAGCCCCACACAGACACAGCGCAGCCCCACACACAGCACAGCGCAGCCCCACACAAGCACAGCGCAGCCCCACACACAGCACAGCGCAGCCCACACACAGCACAGCGCAGCCCCACACACAGCACAGCGCAGCCCCACACACAGCAAGCGCACCCCACGCGCAGCGCCCCACACACAGCGCAGCCCAACACGCGCAGCCCACACACAGCACAGCACAGCCCACACAGCACAGCGCAGCCCCACACACAGCACAGCGCAGCCCCACACACAGCACAGCGCAGCCCCACACACAGCACAGCGCAGCCCCACACACAGCACAGCGCAGCCCCACACACAGCACAGCGCAGCCCCACACACAGCACAGCGCAGCCCCACACACAGCACAGCGCAGCCCCACACACAGCACAGCGCAGCCCCACACACAGCGCAGCGCAGCCCCACACACAGCGCAGCCCCACACACAGCACAGCGCAGCCCCACACACAGCACAGCCCCACACACAGCGCAGCCCCACACACAGCGCAGCCCCACACACAGCACAGCGCAGCCCCACACACAGCGCAGCGCAGCCCCACACACAGCGCAGCGCAGCCCCACACACAGCACAGCGCAGCCCCACACACAGCGCAGCGCAGCCCCACACACAGCGCAGCCCCACACACAGCACAGCGCAGCCCCACACGCAGCGCAGCCCACACACAGCACAGCGCAGCCCCACACACAGCACAGCGCAGCCCCACACACAGCACAGCGCAGCCCCACACACAGCACAGCGCAGCCCCACACACAGCGCAGCCCCACACACAGCACAGCGCAGCCCCACACACAGCGCAGCCCCACACACAGCACAGCGCAGCCCCACACACAGCGCAGCGCAGCCCCACACACAGCACAGCGCAGCCCACACACAGCACAGCGCAGCCCCACACACAGCACAGCGCAGCCCCACACACAGCACAGCGCAGCCCCACAACAGCACAGCGCAGCCCCACACACAGCACAGCGCAGCCCCACACACAGCACAGCGCAGCCCCACACACAGCACAGCGCAGCCCCAACACAGCACAGCGCAGCCCCACACACAGCACAGCGCAGCCCCACACACAGCGCAGCGCAGCCCCACACACAGCGCAGCGCAGCCCCACACACAGCACAGCGCAGCCCCACACAAACAGCGCAGCGCAGCCCCACACACAGCGCAGCCCCACACACAGCACAGCGCAGCCCCACACGCAGCGCAGCCCCACACACAGCACAGCGCAGCCCCACACACAGCACAGCGCAGCCCCACACACAGCACAGCGCAGCCCCACACACAGCACAGCGCAGCCCCACACACAGCGCAGCCCCACACACAGCACAGCGCAGCCCCACACACAGCGCAGCCCCACACACAGCACAGCGCAGCCCCACACACAGCACAGCGCAGCCCCACACACAGCGCAGCCCACACACAGCACAGCGCAGCCCCACAACACAGCGCAGCCCCACCACAGCACAGCGCAGCCCCACACACAGCACAGCGCAGCCCCACACACAGCACAGCGCAGCCCCACACACAGCACAGCGCAGCCCCACACACAGCACAGCGCAGCCCACACACAGCACAGCGCAGCCCCACACACAGCACAGCGCAGCCCCACACACAGCACAGCGCAGCCCCACACACAGCACAGCGCAGCCCCACACACAGCACAGCGCAGCCCCACACACAGCACAGCGCAGCCCCACACACAGCGCAGCCCCACACACAGCACAGCGCAGCCCCACACACAGCACAGCGCAGCCCCACACACAGCACAGCGCAGCCCCACACACAGCACAGCGCAGCCCCACACACAGCACAGCGCAGCCCCACATACAGCACAGCCCACACACAGCCCACACCCACCAGTGTTAAACCAAAGAACATTTTGTTAATCCAATAGAACCATCAAATATCGCAGCACAGAAGGAGGCCATTCGGCCCATCGTGCCTGTGGAAGAGTGACCCAATCAGTCCCACTCCCCCACTCTTTCCCCAAATCCTTACAAATTATTCCTTTTCAAGTTCCTCTCCAATTCCCTTTTGAAAGTTGTTATTGAATCTGTTTCCACCCTTTCAGGCAGCGCATTCCAGACCGTGACAACTCTCTGGGTTCAAAACATTTCATCTCTCCTCTGGTTCGTTTGCCAATTACCTTGAGTCTTTGTGGCCGGGTTACCAACCCACCCACCAGTGGATATAGCTTCTCTATCGAATCCCCTCATCATTTTGAAAACTTCTATTAACCTCCTAACCTTCTCTGCTCCAAGGAGAATAATCCCTTCTCTGCCTCTCCTGATAACTGAAGTCCCTCATTCCTGGTACCATCCTGGTCAATCTCCTCTGCACCCTCTCCAATGCCTTGACATCCTTCCCAAAGTGTGGGGCCCAGATTGAGGCCTAACCATTGAACAATTATTAAGTCCTTGTTTGTTGTGTTTACAGGGAATATTTTTATTGAATAGAGACAACAATGCAGTTTTGATTGGAAAGTATTGGAGAGCAACAAAGCTGATCCCAGTGTTAGAGGGACGAGGTACGAGTGACAATTAAAGAAGCTCAGCCTTAAACCAGATCTCAGAGGGGATTTTACACAGGTACCGTTCTAAATGGGATTGAAAAGGAAACCCACAACAATACTTTTGCACACTGCAATAACAATCATAATAATCTTTTCATTTGACACAGTGCCTCATTACATCTTTGAGACGTCTCAAAGCGCTTCACAGGATACACTGTAAAGTGAATTGACTGTATATTTTGTGGGCGAAACGCAGCAGACAATTGCGCACAGCAGCGTCCCACACACAGTCGTGGATTGAGTCATCAAATTATTATTATTTTTATTTATTTATATTTCAGTTTTATCACTATTACGACTGAACTGGGGGGTAAAAGGTTGTTTGGGGTCAGGTTAATGTGTGGCAGAGTAGAATATATTCACAACCAGCTCCTGAGGTATTCCATTTAATTTTCTGCAGTGGATAGAAGTAGTTTAATTGTTCCTTTATTCATTTCTCTGTCCAGGGGAGAAATTCTTTCAATAGCAGAACCAGAGGACACAAGTTTAGGGAATTTCAAGACAGACACCAGGAAGTGTTTCTCTACCCAAAGGGGAATTAACAACTAGAACAGAGTTACCAGTAAGTGTGGCTGAGGCCAGGACACTGGGACTCACTTAAGAAAACAGCTTGAGGCTGTGATGTGGGACAGTGGGTATGGAGGGAGGAGATCAGAATGTCCTCTCTTGTGATCTTGTGAAATATGGAAGCCTTGTTACAACCCAGTGACTGGGTTCCTGCACCTGAAGTAAAATGCCTGATTTCTGGGTCATTAGGGTCACCACCAATGGCACTTCCTGTTTGTGCATTTGCAGCATAGCAGGAAGTGATGTCAGGGTGACCTGATGACACTGACCATGCCCGCTCCCTGTGTTACTGCAAGGCCTCACTGTGAGCATTTTATTGCCCAATTCCTCCTGTAAGGAATAAAAACAGAAGTCACTGGGGACACTCAGCAGGTCAGGCAGCATCTATGGAGAGAGGAAGGTGAGTAAACGTTTCAGATCGATGACCAAAGGTCACTTTCCTCTCCATAGATGCTGCCTGACCTGCTGAGTGTTCCCAGTATTTTGCCTTTTGTTTACTGCTGTAAGGAAACAGGTTATAATGTATCCAGAATCCAAAACAACAACAACTTGCATTGGTGAAGCAATCTCCTGAAACACCAGTGGTGAAACTGGATAAAATAGACCCCACACACAGCACAGTCCCTCTAAGGCGTCCTGTCCTGTAGCTCAGTGGTTAAGAGCTCTCGCCTCGCAAGCGAGAGACCTGGGTTTGATTCTCGGGCAGAGCGAAATGTTGGGCAAGTTTCCTTACTCCACGCGCCTCTGTTTACCAGCAGTCAGTAGGAACCTGGTTGTTGTTAGCAGAGTGCTGAGGTATTACCAAGGATAATAATAACAATTTGGTCACTCAATCCAACTGTCTGTGGGACGCTGCTGTGCGCAATTGGCTGCTGCGTTTCGCCCACAAAATATAGTCAATTCACTTTACAGTGTATCCTGTGAAGCGCTTTGAGACGTCTCGAAGACGTGATCAGGCGCTGTATCAAATACAAGGATTATTATTATTATTAGCTAAACTGCAGGATTCTCCACGTGAGACGTGTTGACCCTACAGAGAGCAAGTCTCCACCAAAAACATGTAAGGATGTCAGAACCCCAGCTTTCTTGTTTCACACCTGATTGTGAGTTCACAACAACAGTGACTTACCAGAGGTGAAGAATCACACGTGTCCGTACACAGACTCGCACTCAGAGACTTCTTACTGTTCGCCTTAGGTCAGAGAGAATCCAGAGTTAATCCAAATAGTTCAAGAAAATTATTCACATGAATTATTTTTCACGCTTTCATCACCTCCACCTCAATTTCCCCAGTGCCCTCCTCGCCTGCATCCCCAGCTCCTCCATTCAGAAAATCCAATTCATTCACCTGTATCCTCATCCGCACCAAATTCAGTCCCCCATCACCCCAGCCCTCGCCAGGCTCCACTGTCTCCCTGTTGTAGAATGGTTCTATTTCAAGATCCTCATTCCCACTTACAAATCACTCCATATCCTGGCACCTCCCTATTTCTCTGACCTGCTCACACCCCACTCCTCAACTCACCGCCTCGATTCAGCTGGCTCCGGCCTTCTGCTTTCTCTCGTCCCCTCCGCTCCACTATCGCTGGCCGTGCCTTCAGTCACTACGCCGTGAAACTCTGGAACTCTCTCCCTCAATCTCTCCACCTTACCCCCTCCTTGTCCGTTTTCAGATCACAACTGAACACTCTCCTTGTTGACCATCCCTGTTGTCACCTCCCCTCTCTCCCCAGTTCGTGTCAGGTTCCGCCACTGTTTTAAGTGCTCCGAGATACTGCCTGTTCAAGGGCACTCTGTAACACAGCCGAGCTGCCACACAGCGACTGAGCCGGGCTGCCACACAGCGACTGAGCCGGGCTGCCACACAGCGACTGAGCCGGGCTGCCACACAGCGACTGAGCCGGGCTGACACACAGCGACTGAGCCGGGCTGACACACAGCGACTGAGCCGGGCTGACACACAGCGACTGAGCCGGGCTGACACACAGCGACTGAGCCGGGCTGACACACAGCGACTGAGCCGGGCTGCCACACAGCGACTGAGCCGGGCTGACACACAGCGACTGAGCCGGGCTGACACACAGCGACTGAGCCGGGCTGACACACAGCGACTGAGCCACACAGCGACTGAGCCGGGCTGACACACAGCGACTGAGCCGGGCTGACACACAGCGACTGAGCCGGGCTGACACACAGCGACTGAGCCGGGCTGACACACAGCGACTGAGCCGGGCTGACACACAGCGACTGAGCCGGGCTGACACACAGCGACTGAGCCGGGCTGACACACAGCGACTGAGCCGGGCTGACACACAGCGACTGAGCCGGGCTGACACACAGCGACTGAGCCGGGCTGACACACAGCGACTGAGCCGGGCTGACACACAGCGACTGAGCCGGGCTGACACACAATAAAGTATGGCCTTATGGGTGGGGGGGAGGGAATGGAACGGCCCAGACGGGTTTGTAGCTGGTACCATGGCAATACTCAACTCTCAAGTGGGTCTCACAATTTTTTGTGAAAATATGGAACTGTATAAACAACAACAACTTATGTTTACACAGCGCCCTTCATGTGGTGTAGTGACCCAGAGCACTTGACAGGGGTGGAGTCTGACACCGAGCCAGGGGGAGAGGGAGGGGGGGAGGTGACTGTAAGCGATCAAAACAGGGCTTTCGGTTGGATTTGGAAGTTTGGAGGGATTGAGGGAGACAGTTCCAGAGTTTGGAATGTGATTACTGTGAGGCGGAGCGCAGTGGAGGTAAATAAATGGTCTATAGATTTTGATACCCACAATTGGCTGATTTACTTACCTGGTGGAATGTTGGCCAGGACACCGGGAGGGAGAGAAAAACTCTTTTGCCCCAATAGGGCCTTGGGATCTATAACGTCCACCTGACCAGGCAAACAGAGCCTGAGTTTAAGGTCCAGTGTGAGGCCATGATGTCTGATGTGGGGCTGAGCTGAGCCCTGGAGTGGAGAGGACCGGGCTGGGAACGAGTGGAGAGGACCGGGCTGGGAACGAGTGGAGAGGACCGGGCTGGGAACGAGTGGAGAGGACCGGGCTGGGAACGAGTGGAGAGGACCGGGCTGGGAACGAGTGGAGAGGACCGGGCTGGGAACGAGTGGAGAGGACCGGGCTGGGAACGAGTGGAGAGGACCGGCTGGGAACGAGTGGAGAGGACCGGGCTGGAACGAGTGGAGAGGACCGGGCTGGGAACGAGTGGAGAGGACCGGGCTGGGAACGAGTGGAGAGGACCGGGCTGGGAACGAGTGGAGAGGACCGGGCTGGGAACGAGTGGAGAGGACCGGGCTGGGAACGAGTGGAGAGGACCGGGCTGACATATTTCCTCGGTGCACTGAGCGGCCATTAGGTGGCACTGTTTTCCAGTGAATTTCTCAATACTGAACATAAACAAGTGAGAGGTCTCCTCGGAGCTGAACTGGCCCCAGGGTGACCGCCTGGCAGCAGAATATCGGAATCGTGCCACCCCTCTGTGACGGTCACTCACTGCTGATGACAGCACAGCCCGGCCTCGCTTATCAGCAGATATGTAAGGGCCGCCCAGTCACTGGGGGCAGGGAATCCTCCCCCTCAGCTCCTGTTAACCCTGCAGCCAAAGCCCACTATCTGCTACAATGGCCATAGCTGGATAAGCGGTCATATCAATGGCAAGCTGTGTGGGTTTAGCTGTTTATAGACTTCAGCAGTTACGTCATTGCACACTTTGGGATCCTCCCAAGCCTTGCCTCTTGCCAACCTGTGCTTAATACTTTATGGAATTAAGTAAGCAGGATGCCTCCCTCCAGGGAGAGAGACAGCATATTCCATTCCAACAATCTACCTCTGGGATTGCCATGTGTAGGTGGGAGGCCTGGAATTCCCAGTTGGGTTTGGAGACTCTTAACCAGGTGATGGGTTTCTGTGTGTGTCAGACGCTCGGCTGGGCATGAAAACATAAACAAGCTGAAGTGGTGACGGTGTCTCTGTATCGGGAGCTTTGCTGCTTTTACACATTCACTGTGGAACGTGCTGCTTTCAGTAATGTTCCACAAGATACACAGTCACTCCACTTTACAGTAGCTGTGAAGTGCTTTGAGGTGTCTCAGTGACATGAAAAGGCGCTATATCAAATGCAATCTTATCATTGCACCAGCACAGCAGTGGGGAAACAATGTGTTGTTAGTCACTGATGTGGAGCCCCCTCGCTCAGAGCCTGTGCTGACCACAGCCACATGGTGATTGCTATCACAGTTCACACCAGCATCACAAATCCACAGACTTACACATTTACATAGATTTACATCAATGTACAACAAGGAAATAGGCAACCGTTTCTGGAATTAGGTAAGCAAGGTGCATCCCTCCAGGGAGAGAGAGAGAGAGCGCGCATTCCATTCCAACTGGGGTTTATCCCCACCCACCCTCACTCACTTCCTCATCCTCCCACACCCTCCCATTCCTCTCTCCCTCATGTGAAGGTCTAGCTTCAGTCTTGAATGTATCTACACTATCTGCTTCAATCACCGCTTCAGGCAGCAAGTTTCACATTCTCACTACCCTCTGCGTGAAGTAGTTCCTCCTAAATTCCTTTGCGATCCCTAATCTTACACTTGTGGCCCTTGTTTACAGATCCCCCAACCAGTGGAAACAGCCTATTTATGCTAACCTTATTGAACCCTTTTATAATTGTAAACACCTCTATTTGTCCCCTCAAACATCTCTTCTCTGGTGATAAAAGGCCAAGAATTGCCTGTGTCTGTGTTTAATAATAATAATCTTGCATTTGATATAGCGCCTTATCACACCTTCGAGACATCTCAAAGCGCTTCACAGAATATGCTGTAAAGTGTGTATTTTGTAGGAGAAATGCGGCAGTCAATTGTGCACAGCAGTGTCCCACAAACAGTTGTGGGTTGAGTGACCAAATTATTATTATTTTTTTGAAGGGATTATTAGCCCGGAAAAGTGATCCGCCAATCGATGAAAAACCAGGTTCCTATTTACTGCTGATAAACAGAGGCCTGTGGAGTAGGGAAACTTGCCCAATATTTACCCCTGCCGGGAATTGAACCCAAGTCTCTCACTTGCGAGACGAGACGAGTGCTCTAACCACTGAGCTACAGGACTCCATGATTGAGCCTTTGATCACTGCTCAGGGTCACTGATTGGCTTGAGAGGAAATTAAACAGAGGGTGTGAGGTTGGGCCCAAACCCACAGTATATCACACTGCAGAACAGCATTACACATTTTAAACACTTACCTGCAAATGAGAGCAAACTAGCTTCAGCACATCGTACACACTATCTCTGGAGAGGAAAGACACAAAGATGTGCTGCAACCAAACACACAGACGATCTGGTTAGAAACCTGGCTGCTCAGCTCCTGCCCAGGGACAGCACTGCCTTCATTCAACTTTTCCTTTTCGGTGTTTCACTTTTTTACAATCATAATAAATAATAATAATCATTATTTAATATAGTGCCTTTATCCTCCCAAAGCGCTTTACAGGATTTCTTGTAAAGTGGGGTGACTGTGTATTTTGTAGGCAAACTTGTCGGTCAATTGAATCTGTTTCCACCCTTTCAGGCAGCGCATTCCAGACTGTGACATCTCTCTGGGTAAAGAAAAATCTCATCTCCCTTTGGTTCTTTTGCCAATTATCTTGAATCTATGTGCCCTGGTTACTGACCCACCTGCCAGAGGATATAGCTTCTCCTGATCTACTCAATCAAAACCTTCATAATTTTGAACATCTCTATTAAATCTCCCCTTAATCCTCTCTGCTCTAAGGAGAACAAGTCTTCACTTTGGAGTCAGCTGGAAAAAATCCTCCTCAAACCAACATGTCTTTTGAGGTGTTGCTGGAACACTCGGACTAAACGTGGGGCTGACCAGATGCCAACCTCAGGCCTCACCTTCTCATCCATGTTGGTCCTGATGGCAAGCCCATTAGGCAGCAGCCCAGCCGTCCTGTGCTTCTTTACCAGCTTGATCGAGGACACTGCGATTGTGACCTGAAACAGGGGAAGAGTTTGTGTTGAAGATGTGTGGATTATGGGGAGGGCTCACCAGCCTGTGTTTGTTTGTGCAGCTTTCCCCAAGGTTCTTATTTTCTTTCCTGAAGTGCTCCAGAACGCTACCCCAAGTGAAGCGCGCTATATAAATACAAGTCGCTGTTGTTGTATTTCTGACAAAAGGCAAAATACTGCCGATACTGGAAATCTGGAATAAAAACAGAAATCACTGGGAACACTCGACAAGTCAGGCAGCATCTATGGAGAGAGGAAAGTGACTTTTGGTCATCAACCTGAAACGTTAGCTCAATTTCCTCTCTCCATAGATGCTGCCTGACCTGCTGAGTGTTCCCAGCCACTTCTGTTCTTATATGTCATTCATTTCTTATTCAGACATACTGTACAGAATTCTCCAACCAAACCCTACTGACCAACTACTGACCCAACTAGTCACTCATCTACCCACTTAACTACCAACCCCACTCCCCCACCCGCTGCCTCTGCTCGGTTGACTCCGGCCTCCTGTTTATCCCTTGCCCCCTCTGCTCCACCATTGGTGGTCATGCCTTCAGCTCCTAGGACCTGAAACTCAGTCATTTTCTCCCTCCCCGCCTTCAAATGCTGCCTAAAGACCTTCCTTTTTGATCGTGTTTACGGTCACCTCCTCCCTCTCCCCCTGGCTCGGGGTCAGACTCCGTCCCTGTCAAGTCCTCCAGGAAGGGCACTGTATAAATGTAAGTTGCCGTTGTTGTTCATGTACTGAACCCAGGAGTCTTCAGCTCCAGCACAGTGCTGGGCTTGCAAATACCTGTAGCCATCGGGCACTGGCATCAGTTCTCATTGGTTAAACAAAATCAAGATAAAACGAAACAGAAGCTGTGAGGGTGATAAAAGTGTGAGGCAAGCGAAGACTGAATGGTGGCAGCAACATGGTTTGTGTTGCTGAGAGTGAGCTTCACACCTGGCCATGACTGAGATCAGCCACTGCATTGGAGGGTCAGCCTCGCCTGTGATCAGCCCAGTAAACACAGCTGAAGCTGCTTTGCACCTCATGTACCTTGATGTCTTTTCCAAAGAGTCTGGCGTGGAAGCACAGCCAGTTGCTGGAGATGTAGAGGCGGCCCTGGAGCAGGATATCTCTCTGCAGAGCACAAGAGTAAACTGTGGAGAAGAGGTCAGCAGGTCAGACACCAATCATTCCACACGTCCTGTCTATGAGTTAGTGAGGTCTGAGCATTGCTGGCTCTCAGTGACATCCAGTTCTAGCTACTCGTTGTATTCAGGGGAACTCCATCAGATTGTACCCTGGGGAGAGCCTTGCCTCGCTGACAGCACCTGGCCACTGTGAACCCACGCTAGCTGCTACACCCGGCATCCCCCACTCCCACCCTCCCTGCCCTCCACCCCCTCTGATCCCAGCCCTCAGCTCCGCTCCAAATCCCTGACTGTCCAGTGCCTTGGGACGTCCTCCTGACGTGAAAGGTGCCGTGTAAATGTAATTTGTTGTTGTTATTGTTCTCACCTAAAAATAGAAATAATCACCGCTGATATTACTTCCTGCATTAGGTGCACTGACAGCATTTCCTGTGTGCTGTACACATGCACTATGTGCTCAGTGAAGACCGCTTTGAAATATCAGGTGTAATATCTTGTTTTCTGGTAGATACTCAGACACTCACCTTTCCTCAGTGTCTCCTCTTCCTGAATGTTCTTGAAGACTTTGTGAAACTGTGCATTGTATTTTTTTATTGTCTGGACAAAAAAGATATACAGAATCACACCAAATGTAGCCTTTTGCTAAAGCAGAATTGTTAAACACCATCCCCTCCCAATGTCAAATGTGCTGTCTGTTGGGTTGTGTTGTGTTGTGAGGTGAAGGCTGTGTATTTTCTATTTGAAGGTAAAGAAGACAAGAAAAATCCTGCAGTTCAGACTAACTGTCACAGGTGACAGAGCCTGACATCAGAAACTGATAATAATAATAATAATAATAATCCTTGCATTTGATATAGCGCTTTTCACGTCGGGAGGACGTCCCAAAGCGCTTCACAGAATATACTGTAAAGTGAATTGACTGTATATTTGTGGGCGAACGCGGCAGCCAATTGCGCACAGCAATGTCCCACAAACAATCATGGATTGAAAATGACCAATTTATTATTGTTTTGTTTTGGAGGGATTATTATTAGGCTCTGTGTGGAGTAAGGAAACTTGCCCAAGGTTTCGCCCTGCCTGGAAGGAGACCTGCCTGCCTGATGGGATCAATCAATGAAAACAAAATTGATAATTACATGTATAAAATTAACCTGATCAATATCAGCCAGCGTGGGATCTGAAGGGTGAATTTTGTCTAACCTACATCATAGACATTTTAAAGAACTATTTTAAGGAACTAACAGCCTAAATTGACTGTGAGAAGGAAACCATATGATGATGTTTATCTAGACTCCACAAAAGGCATTTGATAAAAGGGCAAGGAAATGGTTGCAAATATGGCTGAAGGGAATGAACGCAGAGGGTAGTCAATAGGGAGACTGTCAATAATAATAATAATAATCCTTGCATTTGGTATAGTGCTTCTCATGTCTTCGAGGCGTCTCAAAGCGCTTCACAGAATATACTGTAAAGTGAAAACAAAAACAGAAGCCGCTGGGAACACTCAGTAGGTCAGGCAGCATCTATCGAGAATGGAAAGTGAGTCAACATTTCGGGTCCAC